ACAAATACAAATACAAATACAAAAAATGTAATGGAATACGACATTCAAAGGTAATGAACTTACATACAATACTGGTTTTTGATTAAAACAAAATAAAAAAAAACTGAAATAAGTTTTTAATATAGTAAGTTTTCAGTGTTGAACAGGTTTGTTTAAAAAAAATCGAGAAAAATTTATACTCTAACTATGATGTAAGGTAGTGAGGTCAGGGAAATCATAGTCCAGTGGAATGATGAATATTTTGAAGGAATTGTAGATTTAGTGGTAAAAGCATCAAGCATGTCATGATTATTATATATGACACACTAAAGAATTATGGATATAGATCCACTTGAGAGACAAAAACAAAAACAAAATAGACAAATTCATTTTCACGATGGCCACCAATGGTGTTTAAAATATACAAACTTTTCAATTTTTATCAGATATTGACCTTTTTTGTATTAATGTTACACCAAATGAGGCAAATGAAAGCGCACTGCGTGTATCAAGTATAATTTAAACTGTAGAGCAACGTTTAAAAAAATGGTTGAACTTTTTAAGATGGCTGCCAAAAATTATTTTTTTAGAATGAATAAAAACGGTATAAGCGCTGTTTTAGTATTGGAACATAGTGTAATAAAGTGAAGATCCTATCACTTACACTTGTGAAATGAATGTTAGATATATCTTGTTTGCAAACTTGCAGGAATTTGCTAGCAGCTACTAACAAGCAGGTCCTCAACAGGAGATACTTCTGAGTCTTGTCTTGGAAGAACAAAAGGTGGAACACTAATGTACTAATGTATGCTTCTGGTAAAAGTTCTAAGTTCTTTGTTTGATGATATGGTATCAAATACTGTAATTTCTCCAATAAATTCTGATGTTTTGTGTTGACATAAAGCTATAATCATCCCATGTAGAAATATTTTGGTAGGATATGAACTTATATTGTGGTCGATATTGTCCACAGTAGTTATTGTAAATACGCCAGGACGAAGTTTCTTTGGGCATACCTCCATTTTTGGTTTAAAAACACACATAGTTTCCCATTACAGTGCATAGATTCATTATTCTATCATAGCAAACAGACAATACATGGTTCTACAGCTTATCAATAAAACCATCTTTCCTCGTTTCTGTATCTATCATTAGTCCTAAATGTGTAGGAAGTGATGGTTTACGATCTATCGAAAAGAAAGCTATTGTAGATCCACTGCGGCGACAAATTTCACAACTGAACTGCACAAACAGCGAGATGCTTAATGTAGCCTGAGATTAAATCAAATTATTTGATTCAGTTTGGATATTAGGACCACCTAGTATTATCCTTACTAATGTTATCAGAGACTGAGGCACAGATGCCTGTTGACAATGCTTTTCAAGCGTTCCATTGAAGACAAACCAGGTTGAACATATTCCTATAAAGAAATTTTGCTGCTTGTGAAATGGTCATAGCTTCATCATCCAAGTCTTGTAAAACGTACTTGTTTGAGTGCATGTCCAATGTCTTTAGTGAACACTGAAAATACATCTCGATCCTGTTCGCGTACTTGTTTATTCAGTGATGGCTGCAAAAAGTCGTTTCTTAAGTCTGTAGTATGAACTTGACCAGACGTATCCGCTTCTAACTGTTTGAGACGAGACGTGTATAGCCAACTTAAACACTGGAACTACACGAGTATCTGCACATGCGTCCTCTATATATATGCTACTAGTTCAGCAAGTGTAATGTTTTGTATGTGTTTTCTATGACAGTATAAGAAGGCAATCGACTAGTTTTATTGTAAAATACAATCAAACACTTCGAATACTAAACCGTTTCCTGTGATATCGAATCTCCAGCACTTAGCTTAATAAACAGTGCAGTATCTTGCATGTCTAGGGTACATTTACAAACTCTTCTTTCCATACTGAAGGTAGAATCTTCGTGGATATCATCCAAGGCTGTGTATTTGTAGGTGCACCAACTTCTTCTACTTTTGTTTGAGATATTACGTTGTTCAACATCAGCACTTCTTCGTTACTTTGCTCTTCCTTTCTTTACATTTCTGGATTTGTTCCTGTATTATCATGCTACTTCGCTTTATGAAGCTGTAGAGTTTCGTTTCTTCAATGTCACTTCTTTCATCTAGGAAATTTATTCTGAGTGGGATTAGAAACGTATGATATTGCTTTCCAGCGTTTGACATCCTACACCAATCTTAATGATTGATCTTAGAATGTTTCTTGCCATAATATGCATTATGACTAGTCTAATAAGCTCAATATATGTGAGAATCCTGGCGTGTTTGATTTATTAGCTAACACTTTTTTGTTTTACATTTTCGAATTTTTAATATTTTCTGCGATATTCTGCAGCTACAACTAGAGCAAAGCATCGAAAAAAGATAAACATAATAGATAAAAAAACAATTTTACACTTCAAAAATCTAGTTCCGAATACCAAATAAGTTTGAAAATGACTAATATCTGATTTACGAGGACAAGTAAGCTGCTCATACATAAAATTAGAGCACGTGGATGCCATTTTGACTATGGTCATCTTTGGGAAAAAAACAACATAACCGATATGTTCAGTAAGCCATGTTTGGTGCTTTTAACACAAAACCCACTTTTTTCACCATTCTATTAGACTAACAAGACAAACTAATAAATCTCAGTTCTTTCTGAACCCATCTCAATTAAAACCCAGCTTATTTACTATATGCAGTTTAGGATTTAATGAGGAGATTACAGTGAATTGTTTTTAATTATTTTACTAGATATTCTCACGTTAACAATAATCTCTCGAGTTTTTAAGATTATTGTTCAATTTACTGAACTCAGTAGTCTTAACATTAAACAAGCGACCGCATTATTTTGTGATAAAATGATAATATTTGGTCGTTTCGAATAAACAGCACCATACTCAGGTAACAACTGCAGTTTCAAACTACATCAGCTGTCCAGTATCTGAGCTAGGTCTTTGATGGGTAAGGATATTCAAATAATTCTATACGTGTCTAGAAGTGTCTAGGTGGAACTTTATTAATACACACCTTTTTACCGTACCAAACCGAACAAATATTTGCAATTAGAATAAACTTTTGGGTTTAAAATTTGTGGTAATATGAAAAAAGATTTCCTCTTATTGAATAACATACACTATACGTGACCAGCTGAGAACGGCATTTTCGGACTACATCAGCTCTCATAAGCTAAGACAGGTCGATTATAGGTAATCACTCACACTAAAATGATACTTCATAAAGGAGTGTGTCTTTTTCAATAATCAGATTGCCTGCATTTGTCATATTTTTCTTGTTCAGTTTCTAGTCATGTGCTGTAACTTTAAATGTTTTTCTTCGATCCACGTCACGGAACAATAACCTATCGACGCGCTCAGCAGAAGACCAGAAATATAATTTGTGCATGCATTAAAATGCGTGTGTTTGTACATTTTCAAAATATTTCACGTTCTAGACGCCTCAGAATTAATCTCTTCTTTCAAACTAATAATATATAATTGACTTTTGTGAAATTTTGTTAAACACTATACAATCCAAACACCTAATAATGTGTGCCTCAAGCCTAAAGTTTACCTCTATTTCTTTGGACACATATATATATATATATAAATCTCACGAAAACAGTTTTAAATTTGTGTAGATCCGTAATTACAGTATCTTCACTAGCTTAATCATTTCAAACAATAAACCGTTGAAAAAATAGTAAAACAATATTATTGCTATACGTGTTACTGATAGATAGATGTATGTGTTATATTGGAATATTCTTAATATTATTTTATGGCTTTTATATTTCCAGGTCGTAATGCAGTGTGTAGACAGGATTTTAATGGTCGACTTACTAAAGAAAGAACCAACATCTAAAGAACAAGTAAGTCTTATTCTGGACATCTTCGATCACTGTACTTAGTTATTTGTTCCCGATAAGTCAATATAATGTTCGGTAAAAGCTTCGTATTTTTAAAAGGGTAAAAGGCAAAGCGCCCATTTGTAACAAAGTGATTATCACGGATTTATAATAAAACGTTCTTAATGAGAATTGAACGTTAAAAATAAAGGAAAATTGAGGAGCTTTCTCTCATTTTGTTTAAAACATTAAGATCGGAAAATCTAACGTTATAATGAATATAACTCTTGCATGAAAATTTCTTGCAGTTTCTGAACTTTCTGATATCGGTCCGGCATGGCCAGGTGGTT